ATCGGTTGTCAACCCTTGTTTCATTGCATCTTCAATCTGAACCCCTATTTCGTGGAGCTCAGTGAATGTGAACAACGACAAGACTATCATCTTCTGCAATAATTTCCCTTACAGATTACGGACCACCATCCTAATTTGGTCTTTCTCGGATGGCCTGGTAGTCATCCTCAAAGCCTTGGCCCTCCACCGGGTCACAAAGTCCGAGAAGCCCTCCTTTGGCTCCTGATGAGTTGCCTCAAGATCACAGGTTGTGACCTCAATCTGGGTATTGTAGGAGTACTGTGCGATGAAGGCCTCAACCATTTCCTCCCAACTCCGTTTCGCAGAGTCCTCCAGCTTTGCATACTAGATAGCTGCTATCCCTGACAAGGTCCGGCCAAAAAACGACAGCTTTTGAAGTTTGGTGAGGCCCATTGGTCGTAGGATGTCTGAGAATAACCGCAGATGGACCATAGAATCCCCAGAGCCATCGAACCGGTCTATGTGTGGCATCTTGAATCTATCTGACAGATTTTCTGCAGAGTCAGTATATCTATCTTCGATATCAGGGATTGAGTTCACACCCTATGCCAGCTTGGAAAGCTTTTCTAGCTTGTTGACTTTCAATGCAGTGGGGTCAACCTCGAATTCAAATGGCGCCTCAATTTGGTACACTGGTGCCTTGGAGGCCTGAGGTGGGATCCGGTCTACCAGAATGCCTAGATTCTCTTGGACATTAGTAATGATTCCAAGTGCTAGAATACCCACTGGAGGTGCGTGGGAAGCAGAAGTCGTTGCTTGCTATGGTTGCTGTTATTGGAGCCTATTTATTGCCTTTAGCTTGATAGGCTGTAACTTCAGCTTGGCGAGCAGCATCTTGCTGCATAGTTTCAATGGTTTGTTGGAGATGACGAAGCAAGTCTTCCATACTAACCAATGGATGTTGAGATATTGGAACTGGCGAATAATCTCTTACTGGAGTTGAAGTAGAAGATTGAGTTTGGCTGGGCGCAAGTGAAGTAAAAGGTTACTGCTAGACTAGTGAATTATGCCTAACCCTCCTCCGTCTCGTAACCGGTGGGAGTGAAGCAAACACTGGTTATCCTCTAACAAAATTCTCGGATCTGTAAAATCTCCTCACACGGGTCTAGAGTGCTTGGGGGGTAACAGAACTGTCCGAAGCAATTGTGAGAAATTACCTTGCAAAAAACAATAAAGCAAAAAGAAAGTGAAAATTAGAAACCACCTTAGCTTAGATGTGAACAAGACACAGTTACAATCATAAGTTGTAGAACTAAACTCAACACTGATTTCTGCCCCTAAATCTGATACCCAAACTTACAACCAACACGTACATTCCTGTAGAATTTCACTTTAAAAGCACATACCAATTAAGTGAGAGCCAAAACACCCCTATGATGGGGTAGGGTTACCCTGTCCTAGTTTCGTCAAGAGCTAGGGTTCATTACTCAAAACAACGTGTTTCACACAATCCTACATTCGAGTGAGCAACCTATCCTAGTTTAGAACAGTCTTTATGGCTTTCGATATGAAACTAGGCTAAATAGTCAAAAAGGGCACCTCAGCAAGACTACCTAATATTCCTCTCACACCTAACACCGAGAAATGAAAAGAGGATCAAATGGTACAACGGTAGTCCAGATCCAAGGGTTGTGTTCCCATCGTGGTAGAACCCATAACTGGTCAGCCATTTGGCAAGCTTTTCCAAGCAAGCCTCCAGCAAACCGTTCAGGAATAACAGATGGCAAACATAGTGACTTAGGTGCACCAATGCAAATGCAAATGCAAAGAAACACATAAGTGTAGATAAAATGTCATATCATGAGTTCGAGTCAAGTTCTCTAAATCCTCAGCAGAGTCGCCAGAAACTGTAGCTCGACTTTTTCGCGCCCCCCTTTTGGAAGCTCGAAAGAATCCCTACAGTTCAAACTCCCACGATTCTGAATCTAATCTCACAAGTGCAATGTGAAATTGATAAATACCAAAGAGTCCTAATTTGACAAATCATTTTGGAAAATTGATTTTGAATCAAAATGCCAAAATTGGACTGCTTTTCCAGATACAGAGTCGCCACTCAAATATTTTTAGAAAATCTAGGAAATTCATGACTCGTGCCAAAGGCTACGTGTCCGTCATCACCAAAGTTGCCTCATCTTGGAAACTTGGGTACGAGAGGGGAAGGTCATAAATTGAGCACCCCTGCTCGCCTGATCAAAGATCGACCTCTACTAATCATGATATGATTTTTATTAACATTATGTGCTCTTGTTCCGGTTATTAGGCTAGCATTACTATGTGATGCGCACAAGCAAGTATAGACTAGTTTGCAAGAATTAGAACAATTCAATTTCATGTTTGTTTTGAGAAAAAGGTTTGATTTTGCCACCTCAAGTGGGCTTAAAGTTTGTAAATTTGCCACTCAACAAAGTGGACTTAAAACTGTGAATTTGCCACTAGACATAGTGGGCTTAAAAAATACATTCGTTGAATCGTTCCAATTCAAACAACAAGCCTTCATCCACAGGCATCCAAGCAGTTTATCAAGTAATCATTTAGCCTCATGGCAAGCATGCTAGTCATGGCAATCACTCACACTCATACAAGTATGCTAAAGCACTAAAAACTCACCTAGTACTCCAAGTTAAGATAAACAAAAGAGTTAGAAAAAACATGCATGGTTCCTAACTATGCAATATGACTAATGCAACACATACGAAGAATGCTATTAATAGGCTCGGCTACTAATATGACATATGACTCAATTAAATATCATGCAGTCTAAGCACGTATTCAAAGAATGTATTTAAACAACAATGCAGTTAGAATGATACGTCGAGCCTCGGTGCATGCAATACAAGATGAATGGATACAAACATAAGGTATACTAATTGAAACATGATGCTCCTAAACTAACCATCAAAAGTAAATAAATAAAAGGGAGAAAGACATGGGGTTGGAAGACATACACATTATTACATTTTGCTCTCACGAAGGAGAGTTTGAATGAATAACAGAGCTTGTTGTAGACTCTGCCAGAATCTTAAAGTGAACTTTGAATCTCTGTCAGATACAATAGATACTGGCACGCCATGTAATCTCACAATCTCATTAACAAACAGGTTAGCTAACTTATCAGCATTATACAGTGATTTAATAGGTAAGAAATGTGTAGTTTTCGTTAAACGATCAACAATTACCCAGATAGAATCCATACCTCAAGGAGAGCGAGGTAATCCCACAATAAAGTCCATCGTGATATGTTCTCATTTCCATTCTGGTATTGGAAGCGGCTGTAGCAAACCAACGGGTCGTTGATGTTCGGCTTTAACTTGTTAGCACTATAAATATCTAGCCACAAAATTTGCAATGCACTTTTTCACCCCCGGCCACCATAAATTTTGTTTCAAATCATGATACATCTTTCTATTTCCCAAATGCATAGCAAATTTCGAATTGTGAGCTTCAGTCATGATACGTTTCCTCAAGTCAAAATAGCTCGGCACACAAAGGCGTTTCTGAAATTTCAACACATCGTTGTCAAGCCCAAATCCCGGTTTCGGTTTTGAATCAATTTCATCAACAATTTTCTTCAGGAACCCATCATTGCGTTATTTCTCTTTAATCTCTTCAATGATTGTAGGTTGAGCAGAAATGGCAGTTAAGATTTCGCCCTGTTCACGTAACACAACTTCAATCTCATCCTTCGCCAAGTCACATAATAACTCTTTCTGACTGGTGAGCAAACATGACAAATTGGCAATAGATTTTTGGCTTAACGCATCTGCAACGGTATTTGTCTTTCCTGGTTGGTACAAGATTTGCAAATCATAGTCCTTGATCAATTCTAGCTTTCTCCTCTGTCTCATGTTCAGCTCTTTTTGGGTAAAGAAATATTTAAGGCTTTCGCGGTCCATGTACACTTCACAAGTCACACCATACAGATAATGTCGCCAAATTTTCAAAGCAAAGACTACTGCGATGAGTTCAAGGTCATGGGTCGGATAGTTGTTCTCATGATAACGGAGCTGCCGAGAGGCATAAGCAATTACCTTCTCATTTTACATTAGCACATAACCCAAACCTTTATAGGAAACATCATTGTAAATCTAACACCCATCAGTTCCGTTTGGTAAGGTCAAAATTGGTGCAGTTACTAGTCTAGTCTTCAATTCTTGGAAAGCCGACTCCTGTTGATCATTCCAATCAAATGGTGCATTTTTCTGTGTCAATTGCGTCAATGGCATAACAAGTTTTGAGAAATCTTTCACAAATCTTCTGCAGTAACCTGCAAGACCCAGAAAACTTCTTACTTCTGACACATTTGTCGGTTTAAGCCAGTCCACAATAGCTTCAATTTTCTATGGGTCAATAGAAATACCATCCTTGTTGATTACACACCCCAAAAATGTCACACTGTCAAGCCAGAATTCACATTTGGACAATTTTGCATACAATTTCTTTTCTCTTAGAATCTGCAAGGTAGTTCTCAAATGATTCTCATGTTCTTTCCTATTTTTAGAATTTACCAAGATATCATCAATAAACACAACAATAAATTCGTCGAGGTATTGTTTGAAAACCCTGTTCATCAGGTCCATAAAAGCCGTTGGTGCATTTGCTACCCCAAATGGCATGACTAAAAATTCATAATGCCCGTATCTAGTTCTAAATAATGTTTTCTCTGTATCTTTTGCTTGAACTTTTAACTGATGATAGCCTGATCGAAGGTTAATTTTAGAAAACACTTGGACTCCCTGAAGTTGGTCGAATAAATCATCTATCTGGGGTAATGGATACTTATTCTTGATGGTCACTGTATTTAGTTCTCGGTAATCTATACATAATCTCAAGGACCCATCCTTCTTCTTAACGAATAAAACTGGAGCACCCTAGGGTGAAGTGCTCGGACGGATGAACTTCTTGTCTAACAGTTCTTGAAGTTGGATTTTTAATTCTTTGAGTTCTGAGGTTGACATTCTGTATGGGGTCTTGGAAATAGGTTATGCTCCTAGTGCTACTTCAATAGTGAACTTAATTTTCTTATCAATTAAATATCCAGGCAAGTCATTTGGAAATACATTGGAAAATTCACAAGCAACAGGAATGGTTTCCGCATTTGAAGTATTAGAAACTTCAGTCAAAACACAACATATATAACCCTTACATCCCTTCCTAAGTAGTTTAACAGCTTTTAGGGCAGAATCATTCCCATTCCCGGTGAACACAAACTTAGGCAAGCCGGGTGGACGAAATATAATAGATTCATTTACACAGTCAATAGCCGCACAGTACTTTGTCAACCAATCCATGCCCAATATACAATCAAAATGGTCTAAGCTTAAAGGTAACAAGTCAACATATAATGTCGCATCACCAATTGTAATATCACATGCCGGATACATATATGCACATACCATAGAGCCCCCGGATGGTGTAGTTACAAATAATAAATAAATCATGGATTCTAAAGGTCTAGTTAACTTCTGAGAAGAGGCATGCGACACGAATGAGTGTGTAGAACCGGAATTTATCAAGACATATGCATTTTGGGCACAAATGGAAATTGTACCTGACACCACAAACTCAGTGTTTTGCACTTCTCCGAGCACTAATGTGAACGCCCTCCCTTGTCTCAACGTTTCATTCCCAGTGTTATTCCTAACATTGGTTCTCGTATTCGACCTGGCTACCGAAGTAGACCCAGTTAAACTTGTTGCGGGGTGATTAGCGTTGTCGAGCCCAAGTGAACAATCTTTTATCATATGGCCAACTTTGCCACACCAATAACAGGCACCAGACGCGCGGTGACACACTCCTCTATGCTTTCTTCCACACTCAGGATAGTTTGGAATAGAGCCACTACTTTGACTAGAGTTGCTGGAAGATCCCATATTCTGTTTCTTATTCATGGCAAATGAACGGCCCTTTTTGAAATTGAATCCGGATCTTTTACTTTTCCATTCTGTGGTTGGTGCCTTGGCTTGTTTTATTGTTACCAATGTGGCTTCTGCCATTATTGCTTTATCCAAAACTTTCACATAGGTAGGTAGCTTTAAGACGCCTACTCGGTCAAACACTTCCAAACCCAGGCCACCTTCGAATTTTCGAGCCTTTTTATATTCAGTATCTACCATGTGTGGGGTAAACCAAGCCAACTCCATGAATTCGGCTTCATACTTGGCCACGGACATCCTGCCCTGCTTGAGTTCTTGAAATTCTGACACTTTCCGAACCCTGAAGCATTAAGGAAAGTATTTTTTGTAGAATATTTCATGGAATTGAGCCCATGTCATATCCTCATTGCTATTTCGGACCAACAGCCACCATCTCCAGGCTTCGTCCTTTAGGGTGTAGGTAGCTAAGAGTACTTTCTGTGTTGCAGAGCACGAAAACACTTCAAATAATTTCTCCATCTCTAGTAATCAGGTTTCTGCCTTTAATGGTTCAATACCCCCCAAGAAGGTCGGCGGTTTCATTTTCATAAATTTCTGAGTCAGGTTGATAATGTCATTGTTATCTGGTTTAACTTGTATCGGCGGAGGTGGATGAGGAAAAGGTTGTTGTCTCTGTTGTCGCGTTATTGCCTCAGTCAGGGCTGCAAGCATTTGTTCCATTCTGCTCATTCGGGCCTCAGAAGACTCACTTGTATCATTTTCCCTTGCATTTTCCATGATGCTATAGGTAAACAAGGCAATAATAAAGATAGGCCAACAATTTGTTTCACTATATTTAGATCATTTAGTCACGGCCATTCATTTCTATTTTATGCATTCATGGTCAGATCCAGTTTTCACAGTAACAGGCAGTAGTATACACACTCACAAACGCAGATGAGATGCCCCTAATGCTTACTAGGACACCTTATAGCTCATATGGACTCGTGTGTGCGGTAGAACATATGCTCTGATACCACTTTGTCACGACCCAAACTTGCCCCTATAGGTTTAGCGTTGTAACCGGCTAGTAATACTTGGATTACCAAAGGCCTCTGAACAAAATAACATGTAATCAAGGGGCTGAGGAAGCAAATATACAAAATACAACGTTCATTGAGCTGTGTAGACATACATGGAACAAAACAATTTTAAACTTTATAAGCATATACATGACGTCACATAGATACAGCAATTATACGTCACCCCATATATAGATAATTAAAAAAAACAAATTGTTCACAAAACAAGAGAGATCAAAGTTTTGAGCTTTCAAAAGACATCGCCACATGGCTTGACTGACTCAATTCGGAACCTCCTCGGGAGGCGCAAAGGGTGGCAGTCAAAACGGAATTTTAGGCCAACAACTCTGGCCCTGATCACGTGCCTGGTCACCTACATACATAATATAAATAGTAAGCGGGAGCCCAGTGAATAATGACAAAGTAATGGGGTTTAGATGAATGATGCCCATCACAATTTAATTTCAAGTCTCTTACTGAACAGAAACATAATCATGCTTACATACAGAAACAGAATCATAGTCACATTCTTATCTTTAGTGGTCTATTCGTTAGCATTAAACATATCTCCTTGGTCAAGTTTATTAAGTTCCACATTGGAACCTCCAGTACCAGGTAACTTATCTCATACATGAGCCACGGTATTGTTTCTTTTGGGTGAGGGCTTGGGCCACGGTATTGTTTCCCCTGGGCGAGGGCGTCATGACCATAAGCCACAGTATTATGTCCCCTAGGCGAGGGCCTTAGCTAAGGATACCACATAAGCATTTCAAAGAAGTGGATTATCATTCATGTAATCACATAGCCTTTTGTATCATTCGAGAACGGTTCATATCATAACATAAAGTTCAGAAATTATTTCATATCGAACATAGCTTTACTAAGTTATTACTCACAGATAGTTGTACAGATAGCTTGGCAGCAAACCAATGGATCAACCGCTCACGGTGCGTGACCTACATCAATCGTAACAGATACATACATTATAACGAATACTTGATTTGTACATAACTCATTTCACTAGCTCTTTGTGTTTCTTCTCCTTATCCTCATTAGGGTGTCTTAATCTTAGCCTAGGAATGCCTAGGATGCAATGAGGATGCCAAAATGTATAAGAAAACACTTGGTTAAATTTCTGAAAATAGGGTCCCCACTCGAGCATAGGTTTCTTCGCTCGAGCGGACATGAAAAATGTGAGTGGTCGCTCGAGCGTAACTTCCTTCGCTCGAGCGATCTACAAACTTGGCAAAAGTACTGGTTGCATGAAATCCCCGCTCGACCGTCGCTCGAACAGAAGACTGAGTAAAAAGGGTCCTCGCTCGAGCGTCACTTTGGTCGCTTAAGCAACCTGTAAAATTTTGAAAAAGTTCTGAGAGCTCGATTTTCACACTCAAGCAACACTTTGCTCACTCAAGCGGACAGTGTGAATTCTGGAATTTCCAGAACTGCCTTCAAACTTCAAAACCCAAATTCAAAATCACAAATCATATTCTTTTGGGCCAAAACTCAAGAAAACTTGTCTAAACTTGAAAAAAATTGAGAATCAAAGATCATTTCATGAAATCAAAGCCTAAAAGTATGTCAATTGTGCAAAATTCAACTTGAAATGTGAGAACATGAGGTGAACATAACATGCATGTATTCACTTGAGTTCATAGCTCCCAAAACATTATCAAATGGAACACTTAGGTCATAAACATGATGAAGTCCTTGACCAATACCAAAATATGGACATGTATGTGGAAATTCTTGAGGAACAACTTACAAATCTTAGTGAATTATGCATGCATGGTTGAATTCTTTGTATATTCATCTTCCTTAGCTTAAATCATGACTTGAATCTTTATATTCTTTTGAATTCTTACATTAACCATCTTAAATACACAACCAAAGGGTTGAATTCTTACGTTAGTTCTCCAATCTAGCTCCAAATGGTGAATCCACTAAAATCCCATACCAACCTTTAAATTCAAAGCTAATTCCTTTCACTCTCTAGTATTTCCTTTGTTTGATCACAACCCTCACTCACTCACTCTCTCTCTCTCTCTCTCTCTCTCTCTCTCTCTCTCTCTCTCTCTCTCTCTCTCTTTTTGAGCTCAAAAGATGAGGAAAGGAAATGTAAAATGTATACAAAATGGTGGTAGTGGCTTTAAGTGAGCTTACTTAGGAAAATTAATTAAGTTAAGAACAACTAAGTGAGATCATTTATTCTAATTATTTGGTTCCGAATCGAATTTCAATTGAACCTACTACAAAATTCTAAAAACTCTAACTAACACATAATTCGAGTCAATTTTGCGATCGGATGCCGATAAGGTCTTCTATTTACAGAACAGAACAAAAATTCAAACAGATATGTCTACGATGAACAGACCAAAACACAAATAATGGAACACATATGCAATTAATTCTAAATCTGATCTTAATAACTTATCAGGCATATTAAATCATGGATTAACATTAATCATGGGTTAAGGTTGTCGCAAATATACCTAACGTCATCTGCAGCCCGCATGTGTATCTCAATATACTTATCCCTCGACGTTACACTTGTGTGTTTAGCCATGTCCTGCACAACATAAAAACACTCCAAACCAACTACATAAATGGGACAGTACATACCACAAACATAAAATGAACCACGTACTCTCCTTACCAAACATATGTTTGTGAAGAAGTACGACTTCTCTGGGAATTCTACCCCTGCTGCCAACACGTCTTGTTCGCTCAATAATAGCTCCGTATAAGCGTCAATAACCTACCATTAATCGGCATACATATTAGCATCTACATAACGCCACGTTTGTGGAGATACGCACATGTTACATTTCATTAGATAGATGACAACATTTTGAAGGCACCTGCATTTCCTTTAACTCCAGCCAGGCAAACCAAATTTCGAATGTTGGAAAAATGCACAAAAACATCTTCTTTCGTGCCCGCCCATATGATTGCCCTGCACGAAGAAACCACGTTTAGTTTAACATACACAAAAAAATGAAACTTCGACATAACGATGTCATACTTACCCGTCACCATAGTTCTCGTAAGTGGCAGTCAATTTGCGTTTCATTTCCTCTGGTATTAATTTCCACACGGCCAGATGGTTGTTCAAACCAAAACCCATACGACATTTGACCACTTCGCTAACCTCACCCACGACCACATTATCATCGCAGTCAATCAGCCCAAAACTGAACTCACCATCTTCTACTACAACCCCCCTTAATTTTGTACCGACCTTCCTCAAACGTCCATGGGCCAGTGGGTACTCATACTTTGGTAACTTCCTCTCAAGTCTAACCTTCTGCTTAATATTTCTAATAAATGAATTTGCAGATCCAACCCCTCGTTGACTGCCAAACACCTTTCACTGGTTACTTGCATTTTTGGTTAGAGCACATTCATGTCAACCCCTGTCTCTCCATGCACAGTCTGGTCATGCAGACCGATGCAAGTAATTGTTGGCGACTCCACGCTGACCATATGACTCATCATATGCTGCATGACATTGTTTATAATCTCCTCTACATTCGCCGCATCGCCAAACTCAAATGAATCCAAACCAACATTGGCATCATAGTCACAGGGCATATTTGTCGTTGCTTGACCAGGTCGGGTGACAAGTTGATCCTCAAGCTCGGCTATCGTCCTTCTCAATTTGCCAATAACGATGCCCAATCATTCGATCTCATCTTCTTTCACTTTCAAACGTCCAATGAATCTAACAAACAAGTTCGATAATTGCACCTCAAGTGCTTTTGTCAAATTCCCAATTTGGTCCTCTAACTTGGCAATCAAAAAGTCTTTGCTTCTATTTTCGGCCTCCAGTCCAGTTATTATTTTGTATGCATGTTCAATGTTCGGGGGTACACAGGGCCCATTATCAACTGTCCACTGTGTATCTTTCGTATCTGACACCTTTCCCACACCACTTGAGCCATTTTTTCCATGATCGCTTGCGTTGGAGTCGTTAACAAAACGTCCCTCCCCATTGTCATCAACATGCCCCCCATCACACCCTTTCTTATTACCATCAGATTTGGCGTCCACATTACCACACACACATCCTACACCACATGCAACAACTTCCTCGAAATCATCGCCCAACTCGGGATCCAATACATTGTAATCACCAAGTAGTTGTGCCCGCTCGTATAATGACACTTGCAGTTGATCTGAACGCACTTGCACAAATACGACACACAAACAAACGTACCTGACATCAACAAATGCCACATAAAACACATCACCACCAGCACTATACAGGCTGCCAAAAATAAAATCACAGCATCTACTAACTGTTACTCCATGACACCAATCTTGTTTACCTCAAATTTATCACCGTCTGACAGTGTAACGGTGCGCATTTTTGCCATGAGACTGCTCACATTCCATTTCAGAAATCTTGGAAACACACCGGTACTTTGCGCATCTAATACATTTGTGTGTTCGCATAACCAATACTGCGTACATTACAACAACGTCAATAATTGACCAACTATAAACCGATTTCAAAACAATGTACCAATAACAAAACTAAATTATAGTCGAGACACTTACCAAAAGGATGACCACACAACCAGTCACTTTTTTTGGGGTCTGGCAAAACTCCTTCACTAATCCCATTAGTACGTTTCGTATTGCGAAACTCTAATTGTATAATTTCATAGTGTCTAGTTTGTCTATTATTTGAATGAAATTCCAACTCACAAATTCGTCGAATGTTGAGAAAAACAATTTCACACATACATACAATGTTAACAGCTTAGCTGCATCTTCAACATCTTCCTCCTAAGTACCGATGACCACTTCCAGAAATAGTGTTCTGACAAGAGTCGAGCTAATGCGTGTCACATTTGTACACCTCCGTTGGATAAAATCAGAAGGTGGACGGGGCCCGTTTGAGAGCACCAAAGGCTGCCCTCCACATTGCAGCCCAAAAATTAATCTAATGTCGCTATCACGCAGCTTCAGCATCCTATTTCTAATATGAAATACATCATCATTCGCATCATATGTCTGGACAATTTTGTAAACCAAGCTATCACACTTCCTGAACTCCTGCTGGTTCAGATCATTATAGAGGATTGCGTCAAACAACAACCAGAGTGGTGTTTTCATCAGGTGGGTTTGGTGTGCTGCTATCAAGCCAAAGGTGGACACAATCTTCACTATGCCTGCGATGTTCGATTGATAATTCAGTCTCATTTTACCGACTTTGGAGGTTGCTAGGATACTTCTCAATGATTTTACTTGCTTGAACAAGATACGCCCTTGCATCCCCGTGCGATGTTTCTTTGTGAAAGACCCAGCAACGGAAGTCAACCTCAACCTATCCCTTGAACGCGTTCATTGGCTAGATGTTCTCAAACATTCTGCATCATGAACACAATAATCAATAACAGTTCTATTACATTCTTTCCCAAAAAAGAATAAATACAATAAGAATATAGAAAAAAATCACTCTAATGGTAAATACACCCAACAAGTAGATCCAAAAAATTTAAACATTCCAAACCAGCACACAAACAAGCACATTATGCTCATTTTGCGGAACACATTACACCATTCCACATCCCACTACAGCATTACGTGCGTTCAGCACATGATTCAACTGAATTATAATGATGCACAAACACCACCATTCCATTTGGGGGGAAAAACCAAACAACAAACCCCTTTTACACTCAAATGCCCCCCACATTATGTGATTTTAATACCTTAATCTCTTCATTATTACGCACGGTACACTACAATTGTCGTTCCATAACACACTATCAGGAATAGTTTAAAATTTACAAAAGAAAACACACACACACACTTAACAGCGGACAAGTTAAACACTAGCCTAAATTACCACGCTACACTCAACCAAACTTTCATATCCCCCACAAACTATAAACAAACATGATTACACACTAAAACGCCCCCACGTATCCAAAATTAATTCTATAAATTTCACAATTGCGTACTGCACGCCACCAACCAACCACTAACAACAACATAACCACCACATCCCTCAAACACCCAACACAACCCCCCCCCAAACATGCACATCATCACCACACCACCACTAACTCCCCATCTTACCCCACGCCCACACAAATTCGTACCACAACAAACAACATTTCCACACCCGCTACAACCTCAGCTGTCACACAAATTCCACCATACCAATCCCCCCGAGAACGTCACCCATTACCACACTACGTTCAACTATACGTACTACTGCTACACAAATTACCAAACAAAAGCCAAACCCAAATGATGCACTATCATACCCTACATACCACACCCGGTTACATCATGCGTTGCCCTGACACAACCATGCATATATCTCGCACATCACTCACCTATCAACACATAATAACCGAACCAAACATCAACACAAAAAAACATCAAACCCCACATTTAGAACCCCATCAATCACAATCTATGCAAGCTGAAAACACTGATACACTAACGCCAACAACATTTGGATGCAGCCCACATTATTTTCTTCCTAATCCCACATGCTCATACTTAATATGCACGCTACATGTCAAACATCGTAACATAACACACCAGCATACACAGTTCATAATCGTCGCAAAATAACACACATACGCGCCAAACACGTTTTCCTATGCCCAAATTATACAATTCAATCAATCCATCCTACCAAACTACCCCCTTCACATCAATCCTCCCTTTATAACCCCCACAAAATACAAAAAAACCTAAATAAATACCATCACACACCTACGACTCAAAACTAAATTTCTCATGCCACAAACGTGTACAACGCGGGATCAAACCGCCACTACAACATCATAACCATCACATCACTCTGATGCCCAACACAACCACACACACCCCTCCTCCCAAGAAACATGCACATCCCACCACATCACTCTGATGCCAAACACAACCACACAACCAATAATTATCCCACCCCACCACCACCCCACATCATACCCTATAACCACACCAGGACATACCACAAAGAGCACCCACTACCCCTAAAACCCCATTAGTCACACAACCCACACTAAATAATACCCCTGAGAATCTCACCCATCAGCACACTACATTCGATGATACGTACTACTAACCTACAAATTACCAAACATGCGCTAAACCCAAATGACGCACACTCCTATCCTACATCCCACACCCAGCAACCATATACATTCCACACAACATTCAACCACTAACACATTACAACCAACCAAACATCAACACCAACTACACCAAACCCCACATCCACAACCCCATCAATCACAATCTCAGTAAACTGAAAACACTGGTACACTACCAACACACACACCAAAACATATTCAAATAATACGCTGCATAACATATAATAATATAGACATAGATACTTACTCTCGTGCCATCGTCATCCTGGAAGTGGTGGTTCGTACTTTCACACAGCAACATTAGCAGAACTGTTTCATCAGGGTAAGAAAGCAAATGTCATGTCCTCCCAAATGTGTCACACACGCTTCAAAAAACAGGACCACCGCCCAACGGAAGCTGATTTGGTGGGATTCGGCACGATTTCCTTTTTCTCAAACTAGGATACGCCTCCGATAACACCGTGATCCACCAAATTTAAATCCCTCAAAATCTGGAAACAGATTTATAACAAATTTGAAAATGTGGTTCTCTTATGTGGTCACCACACAACTTATCGCACCGACAATTTCTGTTCAAACCGGAGGTGACATAGTTCCACAGAAACCCTAAAACTTGCACGTTTCAAATCACAATGAAATTAGATGTTCAACTTTTGCGTGTCGCTGGTCCGACTGAAGGTTGACCAACGTGAACTCTGATAAGGGGATATGTGAATTGAAGCTACACCCTAGCTTGGAATGTGCCCACTGTTGGATTGTCGACGGGGGTACAATGTTGTCTCAACTCCTTCTGAACGTCACTCATGAACAACAACGGTGTGGTTATCCAGACTAGATTTTTTAAGTCCTAGTGTGGGCTTGACCCGATGTGGAATTGGGCTGAAACGTTTATTTACATGGATATGGCATAGCCACATTTTGTTAGTTTAGTGACGTATGCAGGCCTATATAACGTATCAGCCCATAAAAGACTATAGTGCATTTTTGCCCAATGTGGCATGCCGCAACATACGCCATCTTGTTAATTCATCATTAAACAGCATACCATATGGGCAGAATCGTAATTTACCACAGATTGGGACCTATGAGAGTGTTATTATACATTTGGGACTAGAAGGTTCACAAGTCACCTAACTAAGATTTATAGGTCAATTTCCCAAAATTAAACCATAATTTACAATCTATTCCATTTTCTCAATTAACAAAGCCAAAAAATTTAATTTAATACTAAATTTAGCTCAATATCGTACTAAATTTTCTTTCAATCCCAACTGAACCCAACCATTAACACTAGTAATATTAAAATTATTTGTCACTATTTATTTCAATATTTTAAAGTCAAAGACGCTCTAAACTTAATTTATTAGTCCAACATTGCTTTCCTCATCACCCCAACCAAATAAAGTAATCAACCCCCATCCCTCCTCCACTTTCCTTCCTCTCTTTTCTCCCTCTAACCGATCGCACATGTCACAACCACAGTAGGCATCTTTTTGTTAACAAAACAATATTTAAAAATATTATTATGTCATTTAAATTTGTTTAAGTTATACATTTCACGATAAGTAATTGAATTTTTTTTTTCAATACTTTAGGAGATATTATTCCATTGATAAAAGAAATACATTTAGATAAAACCAACATCCCTCTAAAAAAGATGAAAAAAGCCATAAAGGAGGCCTGAGTTCCAAGTACTTCAATCTCAATCACACAATAGTATTTTGTTAATGGGATAATAATAAAAAGAAAAAAAAATTATATGTAAAAGCATTTCTTATTAAAAATTCTCAAGATTTGACCCTTCTAACAAAATAAAATTTTAATTTTGTCAATTTAAATTCTAAGTGTCCATAAAATATCTAAAGTATTCCTTTTTTTTAGAAGGGTCAAATCTTAAATTGATATAAATTGACAAAATTAAATCTTAAATTTATTTTTAATTAATTATTTTATGGAATTTTTAATTATATATCTAAAAATTTATTTTATGGAATTTTTAATTATATAAATTATAAAAATTTATCTTAAAATTTAATTTTGTCAATTTGATATAAATAATCAAAATTGAAAATAAATTAAAATATTAGTATTTAAATTGATAATTAAAAATTTATTTTACTATAAAAATCAAATCCTGAATTCTTTTTTTTATAATAACTTTTTTTTTTAGAGTATTGCTATTCAAGACAAAAAATTAGATCTGATTTTTAAACTCAATGATATGGTAATTAATTAGGATATTAAACACAACACTTTCTTTCATATATTCTCTAATATATCAACTAATCATATCACTTACACATCATTGAATCTAGAAAATCAGTTTACAAAGTGAACTTGTATATCATTTTCCTTTTTTTTATTACTAAATACAAAGACAATGAATTCTATCAATATTTATTAACTTGAATCTCATTAAATATATAAATATATATATATATATATAGTAACAAATAGGTACATTACAACCCAGGGGGGTGTAACATTTTGATAAGACTTTAGGATATAAGTCTTGAAATCCCAGGTTTCACTTTTCCTAGAACTAGCCATCTGGACGACAGTATATATGATTGGTAGGATGAACCTTTCAGGGTTGGACAAACCGTACCTAGTGTTAGGAGTGTGGATTTGAATTTCTGCTCATGTACAAATCCGTAACTTATACGAACCCGTAACTTACCGTTATATAATTGAGTGACTCTATTATGTGATAACTACCTAAAAAATAGGTACATTACAGCTATTGTATGTTTTGTTTATAAGGTGGGACAACTAGCTACCAAAAAATATGCTTTAGGGTATAGGCCTCAATTATTTTTGCTTCCTTTTTCTTCTATCTATCACCTTTGTAGCCATATGATATTAGCCATACATATTCTTGTATGGACCTTGTGGGGATATATTTTCTGAGTACTAACACATGGCAAGGTGACGCCGACGTGTCAGCTGAGGTGCCACGTGTCCTGGTCGTGACGCCGAGGTGATCTCGGCAAGGCCGAGGTTATCTCCGAAGATATCAGAATCCGAGATAAGTGGATAAAGGACAAGAGTCCTAGAATGAAAAGGGAACTCAACCTGGATGAGGGACAAGAGTCCTAGAATGAGAGAAGACTTCAGTTTGTATTAAGATAAGACTCTTAGAGAGTTCATCCTAATCTTACTAGGAGTCCAAGATTAGCAGTAATCCTGAGTCCATAGAAGTTAGACTTCTATTGGGACTAGGTTTATGTTGGCTATAAAATAGAGGCACCCCC